ATCTAATAACATGTCCAGTACAAACTACAATGCACTTGAGGCTGTCCTAAATGTTACCCTCCATCATTTAGTAACTTTTGGGAATGCCCCTTAGCTCAATTTCATTCCTTATTCTGATAAGCAGTGGGATTCAAATGATTCTCCAGTGAAATAAACCAGTCTGCTACCCACCCTCACTGAGAAATAATGTCCATCACTGTTATCACTAGTGGAAATTACTGACATGATAACAATACTAGTGACACTGGAAAGTATCGCTTGTCTTATGATTTATTGGATATATCATAGCTTTTTGGCAATGAACCAGACAAAGAATAGGAAAAGGCATGGATACTATGCTTAGTCAAATAAGATAATAAAAGTTGGGGGTAAAAAAAAGTCTTAATATAATAATCAGGAAACTAGACCTTCAATTAATGCTCAGTTATCATCCTATCATTTACTAAAAGTTTCAATGAGTAATTATCTGTTTATTTAGTGATCAAAGCCAACATTATCCATCAAGGCAATTGGTAATAAAATCTGTGTCTTACAGTAAAGCATAATTTCCAGGCAGATATCAACCTGATGAGCCAACCTTTCTATGTAATTAAGCTGACTGCATTCTGAGGAGCAATGGCCTCACTGGTAATTTCTGACTTTAGGAAAAGTTCATAAAGGGACAAAAGAACATTATGAAGGCTTAAGGGCTCATTCCAAATCCTCTACAGCAGTGGTTCTTTCAGAATAAGCCTTTTATGACACTGCTGAAAAACAGATCCTCTCCTGAGAAAAATTCACACAAAATGTGGCAAATAATTTCAGTAGGTTAAAATAAAATGACTTGATGCTTATCCTGGGTCTCAGGTCAAGAATCCCCGTCATTGCTAGCAGAGCCTCTTGCTGAGCAAAGTTCACAACAGAGTTGTAATAGAAAGGTTTTATGATCAAGTCAGAGAACAAGTAGCTGGTGGGAAAATTCAAGGTAAAGACAATTACAGCAAAAGTGAGCGGTGAGCTTCACAGCCATTCTCTGAATGAAACCTTACTATAGCAGCACATTTGACAAATATTTATTGGGCATTATTATAACCTAGGTAGGGTGCTAAGAGATGTGATAGTGAACAAACTCAGAGGTAGCTACCATAGTTCCTGCTCTCATGTGGCTTATAAGAACTGGGGCAATGGCAATCAATCATCCTGATAAATAATTATGAACAGATATAATACCAGAATGCAGGAAATACATTTTATAAGAGAGCCTACAACGAAAAAACCTAGCTTAGATTAGAAGTTCACAAAGGCTTTCCTAAAGACTGAGGTGAAAGGTAACCAGTCAATAAGTTATCTACACAGAAATTGGGGTGGGGGATAAACTTAATACAAATCTTCCAGACCCAGGAAAACATAAGCAAAGATTCTGAGGTAGTGTGGAGATGAAGAAGTTGCACTATGAAATAAGAAAGATGTTTCTATTAATAGCTTTCTTCTTTGCTACTTATCTTTTGATAAAAATAACAGTATATCCATTGTAGGGTGGTTGGGACAATTAAATCGGAGAATATATGCAAAGCACTTAGTAAAATGCCTTGGCACACAATAAGTGCTAAATGTTAATGATGATAAAAATTATAGCTAAGAGAACCTGTGTTCTATAAAATTCCCTGGGCATATTCAACCCACAACAAATGTTAGCAGTTCCTACATCCACCAATTACAAATTTTTAAGGCAAAATATAAGCAAGTTAAATATTTTAATAATTGCTTGCTCTTCATTTTTACTTACATAAATGTGCTACAAAGAGTTGTAGATATAGCATAAACACGTTAACTTTTCTAAGAACTACAATATACTTTATCATTGAGATTACCTTTTAAACAAACCAAACAATTTACTGATTAATTTTGAGATACGTTTAAGTGAAACAAAGTTCTCATAATTATTGTTTTTAATAGAACGCCACTAAAAATTAACTCAAGCCCAGTTCGAGTTAATATCATTTAAGTAAGATGAGCTTTTGAAAAACTTTACACATTTAAGACTTCTAAAATAGTTTCAAATTTAGTCTTTCTTAAGCTGAGGTATAGTTCAAAAATCTTTACATTTCACTTTGCCTCTGGCAGAACATTATATGGAGAATATATTCTTTTTTAAAAATATATTTTTATTGATTTCAGAGAGGAAGGGAGAGGGAGAGAGAGATAAGAAACATCAATGATGAGAGAGAATTATCCATCGGTTGCCTCCTGCAACCCCTGCATAAGCCCTGACTGGGAATGGAACCATGACCTACCTCCTGGTTCAAAGGTCGATGCCCAACCACGGAGCCACGCAGGCCAGGAGAGAATCTATTCTTTATGTAGAAGTTCATTAATATTCTAAGTAATATACCCTTTTTATATATATGCTCTCTCAGATATACTACCTTTGAGTATTGAGCATATTTTTCCTAAATTTAAGTATGTAAATTACATCTCCTGGCCTGATTACTCAATAAGTATGAATGGAGACAAGGAGATACAAACTCTTGCACTACAAAAATGCAACATTACCTGGAAAACTAGTTTTCATTATATCAATTCCAACCTGTAGCTCAGGTTCAGCAGCAAGTACAGCATAGTCCCCTTGATGAGAGATGTTAAAGTTGAAATTGGGGTAAGGATTCAATGAGTCTTTTGCAAGAACTGGTTTTCCTTTTGCAGTTCTTTGCAAACGAATATTATTCCAAGGGATATTCAATTTCTCTGTAATTAATTTCCTTATCATCAGACGACCAGCCTGTTAAGAAAATAAAACAAATATTTGGTATGTGTACGTACATTGCCTGTAATATACAAAGTATGTTTCTGTGGTTTCTAAAATATTTTTTAGGGTTTTAAAACATACATTGCATTAAGATTTAAGCAATGCGTAAGAAGATAGGAGAAAAAGTTAGTCTCTCCTTAGCAATTCTCTCCCTTCAACAGGTAAGCAATATTAACAAGTAGGCATCCTTCCAGTCTTTTTTCTAAGTACCTAAATATAAGTTCATGGGCATATGATTTTGCTATCTATCTACACATATGCGATCCTACTCTATGTAGTATTCTACCATGTATAATCTTTTTAACTTGTGCTGGGGATTATTCCGTGTCTGTCCATATCCATCTGTTCTGTGCACTTTTAACTATAGCATAGTGTTTCACGGTATCAAGGAAGTACAAATAGATTGACTTACTCCATTACTGGACATTTTAGGCTGCCTCTAGTTTTGCTATTACAAAAAACTCCCCAGTGAGTAACGAACCCTGTTGTGCATACATCTCTGTGCACATGTGCAAGCATGTCTAGATCCTACACACCAGCGACTTCCAAATGGTGTGATGCAAGAATTTTTAAAACATGAAATACCAGACTGGCCAGGGGCACTGACCTCTTTTCCCTTATATTGCCAAATTATAAAATGACAACAGCCAACACAACAACAGCCATAGGTGTAAACGAATCAAAACTATACCTATTTTTTGTCAGATTGTAAAAAAAAAAAAAAAAAAAAATTGTATTTTTTGGTGTACCACAGAATTTCAGATGTTTACGTGTGCCACATGAAAAAGGTTGAAAATCGCTGCTATGTACCCATCACTCATTTTCAACAATTAGCTATGCATGATCTTTTGTCACATACACTCCCCCTCCTCCTCTCCCCCACCTCCACCTAATACTTAAGAAATTACTATAATCACACATAAATACCCAGGGGTATAACAAAGTATACAATATTTTGTAAGACAGCTTTCGTTGTTGTTTTTTGTGGGGGTTTTTTTGCTTCAATCTAACGAGTTTTAGATACCGCAATACTTTGAATTTCACAATGTCTTACAACTGAAAAAAAAAAGAGTATAAAAATATTCACCCATATACCTTCAAAAGATTAATGAATTAGGCCAGATTTCAAGTGAAAAGGTGTTTCAACATAGGAGCAATTTCAAGAAACGACTGTTTCTGGAGGGATGGCCATACTGCACTACACAGAAATAATTCTGAAGTCCAATTTTCCATTTGTTGCTTAAAAATACGTAACTAAAGTAAACAGTTCTATTTAAGACGCTGTTTTCCAAGGTATGTGGTCAGGAAGGTAGACACGGGGCCGCATCCTCCGGGGGCTCCCGCTTCACGGGTGCAGGAGGCCGGTCTGGGCCTCGTCCGGCTCCCCGGGGCGCAAAGATAAACGCAGTCGCACCGCCAGTGTTTTGGGGGCCTCTCACGTGCAGGGTGCCCTCGGGGAGCGGTGGGACATTTCACAGGCAGACGCCCAAGCAAAAAAAATTAAAAAGATAAAAATAGAAATACAAAAGCATTCATTGCGAGGAAAGAAATGCAAGTCCCCCGCAGGCCTTCCCTACACCATCTCACGGTTTCGCAGGGTCCCCGTTTCCATGGCAACGTGGGAGGGGCTAACTTTTTGGCCACGAGCGAGGCCTTCGAAGCGACTACAAAGGCCGCGGAGACCAGGCCGAGGCTCCGACTCGCAGCGCCCACCCTCCGCGCCCGGACCCGCCCCGCGTGTCCACCGGCCCGTCTCCCCCAACAGCTGCGCCCTCGGCTCACAGTCCCCATGCCCCGCAGTACCATGGCTGCCTTGGCGTCCCGGGCGAAGACGAACTGGCCAATGCGCTCCTTCTCCTCGGGCTGGATCGACCGCACCGCCAGCAGCCACTCGGCGCGGCTCGGCAGCCACGTGCCGCAGGGGAAGGCCCAGCGCACGCCCTCCATCGCGGGCACCGAGCAGAACCGCCGGCCGGGCGGAGCCGGGAAGCATACGCTGGAAACGAGCCTCGCCGCCACCTCGGGCCTGGCGGCACGGACGCTGACCGGGCTCCAGCCCCTCTTCCCGGCGTCCGTGCGGAAGGGGCGGGGCGTCGCGTCGCGCAGGTCCTCGCGCTCGCTCCCACCTTGACCCCTCACTGCCCCGCCCCCAGCGCCGCGGCGGGGAGGAGACGGAGACCCGCCCCTGCGCTCTGCGGCAGCGTGTGACGTCACGGGGCGGGGCTTCGGCGCGAGCGGAAGGCGGGACCAAGGCCAGGAGCCGGCGAGTGATGCCACTCACACCCGGGAAAGAGCTAACGGGACAGCGGCGCAAGCCAATCGCAGCCAGCCCTCCGGAGGCAGAGGGACCGGGGTGGAGACTTCGGATGCCGCGGTTGCAGGTGGGTGAGCCCTGGGGTCGGACCGAGTGGGGTGTTGGCGTCTTATTCCAGGAGACCCCCCGGGGCCCACAGGAGAGAGGATCCCCCTGGCCACGGCTGCCTCTACCGCTCCTTCGCGTTCGGGGCCGGGAGAGGTTCCCGCGTCTGGGAAGGGACTGCCTGGTGCCGGTTGGACTTGCCCTCCTCCCCCAGCCCCCACCCCCTTGGTTGGACCCCTCCGCTCACCTAGGACTCTTCTGCCCCCAGGAGCCCAGTGGGGCCGAGGCTGCCCCCGAGCCCGAGCCGCTGGGCTGCTGTTGACCCTTTGTTCTCACCATCAAGTGACTCAGGCTGCTCTGCGATTGCCAAGCCTGGACCAAACCCCGGGGGAGAAAACTGAGGATTCTCTCGCTGAGGCACCGGTGGGTCCACAGGTCCTTGCTCTAAAAGCCGCAGAGCCGAGTTAAATAACTGCAGCAGCCCTTCCGAGCTACTGTCTCTGCTCAGTTATTTTTGCTGATGTCTCTGCTCCCACAGTTGTTCCAGGTAGACTGTCGGTGACTCCTAGGACAGCCCTAGTGACCAAAGCCCCTCCCGGGGACGGGTCCAGGGGAAAGGTGATCTCTGCAGATGAATGCCAATGCCTGACTCTGGTTGGTTCAATGCTACACACACGGTGGGAATCAGATGCTCTTCTGCCTTCGGTTGCCAAGAAACGCCAATAAAAGGACAGCAATAGGAATGAACACAATCGTACTCTTTCACGCGGGTTGTGTTCTGTTTGCATCGATGCCTGTTCCATTAGCTTTTCGTGGTATCATGAGCCCCCTTCAATACTTTGCAGATAAATGGGCTTTTGAACACACACATACACAAGTCTGCAAAGAGCTATAAAATGAATTCCTCACTTGATAGATGAGTTTACGATAAAAGTCCGTGGCAATGTGTGATATTTAAGGTCTGCTTACCATCTTCCAGAGTTTACAGTCTGGCAAAGCAGATAAGATAAGGCATGTACAAAAATGCTACAGTAAGAAAAAATATAAAGATATGTAGAGTATAAGGCATTCTACTTACTAATACATGATTTCGTGCAGTGAAAGAGAGGACCTTGATTATAGGGGTTTCTGCTAACTGGAGGTGAAGAACTAGAGACTGTTTTTTGTTTTTATTGATTTCAGAGAGGAAGGGTGAGGGAGGGAGAGAGGTAGAAACATCAGTGAAGAGAGAGAATCATTGATAGGCTGCCTCCTGCACACCCCCCTACTGGGGACAGAATCCGCACCCCCGTACATGTGCCCTTGACCGTAATCGAACCCAGGACCCTTCAATCCATAGGCCGATGCTCTATCCATTGAGCCAAACCAGCCAGGGCACTATAGATTGTTCATTAAAGAAGTTTTTCTCAATTAGGGTGTAACAAAAGGGATGATAGCTAGAGGGGAATAAAAGGTCAAAGGATATAGTTTTGTTTGATGTTTATTTAAAGATGGAAGGTACTAAAATTTGTACACTTATGGAAAATGTCCAGTAGAGTGGAAGAAATTGTTGATGTAACGTAAAGAGAGGTGTGTGTGTACCACTCTAAAGTTTATTCCAGAGTGCAGGACTTTGTATTGTTTTTGCTGCATTTGCAGTACCTTGGATAGAGCTAGCCACCATATTAGCTACTCCCTAAACTTTTTAAATTTGTTGAATAAATGAGTAACTTGGACTCGATTTCTCTTACCTTCTTAAAATTCATTCTTCAAACATCAGCAAGAATGATATTTAAAAATATAAATCAGATTCTGTCACTGTTCAGTTCAAAATCTTCTGTGATTCCAGTTGCACTTAGAATAAAATTTCAGGTTCTTGTGGCTTATGGGATCCTGCATGAGGTAGCACTGGCCTTCTGGAGTCCTATCTCACCTATCTCCTAGCTCTTGTTAACTATATCCCAGTGATGAAAGTGATAGGGGTGACTTATAATCTAATAGATAGGGCACCTGCATTAATCTGAGAAATAATCATTTTAAATCTTAGGACATATACTTATGTGAATAAGGGGTTAAGTTTTTTATATGTGAACACATTTGTTTACTGGGGGGATGGGGGGAAAGGGCAGGGGAAGATCCCTGCGCCCTTTCGCAGTCCAGGAGCCCTCGGGGGATGTCAGCCCGGCTTCTGACTGATCGCATTGACCACCAGGGGGCAGCTCCTGCATTGAGCATCTGCCCCCTGGAGGTCAGTGCACGTCATAACGACCGGTCGTTGTGCTGGTCAGTCTATTTGCATATTACCCTTTTATTATATAGGAGGATAGGAGGGTAAGTTTTTCTTAAAGTTTCCTTTTCAAGGGCTGTGTGAAGTGATTAGGGAGGTGACTCAGCTGTGAATCCAGCAAGCAGAACCGATAAGCAGGGTCAGACGGACCCACCAAGAGCCAAAACATCATCTTATCAAGTCATCTCGCCCCCTTGATGACTAGTTACAAAAGCTGACGTCTGCAGACCCCCAGCCTCACCGTAGCCCCTTCCCCTTTATAATCCTGTCCCCTACACCTTGCTGTAAGACAGGATTTGATGCTTGTAAGCGCCTTGTTTTCTTGGGACCCTTTCCCACTTTAGGGCTTTATACACATTTTGTTCAGCAGCCCCTTACCTTCTCATCATTCAGGTGTAAACTTAAATGACACTTTTCTCAGAAAGACTCTCTCTCCCTAATGTTGTAGTGGATGAAAACAAGGACCTGGGATCAGACTGTGAGTTTACAAGCCAGCTCCCTATTTATGTGCTTCATCATCTTGGGCAATTTAGTTAAATTCTCAAAGCTTCCTTTTCCCTGTGTATAAAATGGGGACAATAGTGGTTTAGAAGATTAAAGAGTATATAAAGTATGGACTACACAGCCTGACACATAGTAACACTATGTAAGTGTTCACTGTTACCATTTTTATATGAAATTGAATACTTTCCCTCACAGTGTTCATTTTTATTTCCTTTTCTCAGGTGTTTCTTCACAGTATTTATAATAATTTATAATTTGTCAGTCTTTTTCACTAGATACTAAATACCAAGAAACCAGGGATCAAATCTGACTTTATTCTCCACTAGTAGCCTGGTGCACGAAGTTCGTGCACATTAAAAGGGAATTAATTAGAGGAAATATTTTAATATTGCTATTTGCCCTTTTTCTATAATAGAAGTGTCAGATATGAAAGAAAATTAGTAAAATGTATATGAAAATCTTCCTCCTGTCAGAGTCTGGGGCCTGCCGTGGGACCCAGAGTCAATCCCCGCCCACCCACGTCTGCCTAAAAATCACATGAGACCCAGACCTGGCCAGCCCCACACCCATTAGGCGAGATCCAGACCCAGCCGGCCCCATCCCCGTTAAGCCCCACCAGATGGGGGGCACAGCCTCAGGTCCCCCGGTGCATGTCGGTGGGGGTGCACCCTCAGGTCCCCTGGCCCGGGCCAGGGTGGGGGACATGCCTTGAGGTTCCCTGTCAAGCCCCGCCAGGCGGGGGGCATGGCCTGAGGTCTCCCGTCAAACCCTGCCAGGCGGGGGGGGGGACAGCCTGAGGTCCCCCATCAAGCCCTGCCAGGTGGGGGTGTGGCCTTAGGTCTCCTGGGCCAGGGTGGGGTGTGCATCTTGAGGTCCTCCGTCAAGCCCCGCTGGGCTGGGAGCACAGCCTGAGGTCCCCTGGCCTGGCGCCGGGGTGGGGGATGTGGCCTGAGGTCCCCATCAAGCCCTGCTGGGCGGGGGGTGCGGCCTGAGGTCCCCTGATCCAGACTGGGGTGGGGGGGTGCTTTGAAGTCCCCCGTCAAGCCCCACTGGGCAGGGGGCATGGCCTGAAGTCCCTCCTTCCCCCCAACCCCCGCCCGGCGCGGCGCTACACAGCCTCAGGTCCCTGCTGATCGCTTGTTATGGCTCATTACGGGAACCCCACCTCCGCTGTGGGCACAGTCATCTTGTGTTACAGGAACCCTGCCTCTGCTGTGGGCACAGCTATCGTGTGATGGCGTGAGGGTTAATTTGCATATTACCTCTTTATTATATAAGATGCTATCTCTAGTGCCTACTTTGATACCTGGCAATGTAGTTAGCACTCTATAACAAATATGGAATAGAATAGGCCAGAAATCATGCTCTTTATTAAAACATCAGTGACCAAACTAATATCACTGGGGGGACCAATGAAATCAAAGTCCTTTTCTAAAAAAATTATGTATCCCCCTAGTACATATATAAAAAATATATATAAGCAAAATTAGTTGAGATGCTCTTAAAACTTCTTCACATTCAGAGTCTTTAACTCTTCTAATTCACTTTCTTGATGTCCATATTTTACCACATACCGTTCTCTGTTATGAACATTAATGGTGTATCATTTCTTTTTTTTTTTTTAATATATTTTTATTGATTTTTTTACAGAGAAGAAGGGAGAGGGATAGAGAGTTAGAAACATCGATCAGAGAGAAACATCGACCAGCTGCCTCCTGCACACCTTCCACTGGGGATGTGCCCGCAACCAAGGTACATGCCCTTGACCGGAATCGAACCTGGGACCCTTCAGTCCGCAGGCTGACGCTCTATCCACTGAGCCAAACCGGTTTGGCAATGATGTATCATTTCTTAAATGAGTATCCATTATTATCTATCTCCAGGGTTTTCTTTAAGATGCTGATACCCATTCTTCACACTTAGAGGCATGTACACATAGTTACAAATATGATGACTGCTCCCTGAGCAAAAGTGATTTTAAGATACCTATCAATTTTAGATATGTTAAATGTGGGAAAAAGTGTCAAAATTAATGAAATATGATATTGAATTTGCAGAATGTTTGGAAGGGAAAAATGCCTTACAGATATTTTTCCCAGAATTAATGTTACTGGGTAAGTGCATGCTATTATTGATTTTAACCATTAATCTTTGTATACCACTTGACAATCTACACTAATAAAAGAGAAAAATGGTAATTGGTGTACGACGCTACCCTTTTCATTGGCTAATCAGGGCTATATGCAAATTAACTGCCAACTAAGATTGGCAGTTAACTGCCAACTAAGATTGGCAGTTAACTGCCAACAAGATGGCGGTTAATTTGCATATGTAGGCACAATGCAAGGAGGCGAAAGGGAAAGCAGGAAGAAGCCCCCTGCCACTGACAGTGATCGGAAACCCAGGGGGGAGCTAAGAGCTGGGGGGCAGGGCAAAGGCGGCCCTGGGGCTGCCTTTGCCCCGCCCCTCAGCCATGATCGGAGAATCAGGCGCCTTTTCCGCCCTGGACAGTGATAGCAGGAAGTAGGGGTGGAGCCAGCGATGGGAGCTGGACACGGTCAAAGCTGGCAGTCCCAGGAGCTAGGGGTCCCTTGCCTGGGCCTAAAGCGAAGCCCACGATCGCGGGGCCACTGCAGCTGTGGGTCCCCGCTGC